CTGAATATTCTACTGATTATTATTAATTTGGTGTGACATTTACCACAGGAAGCAAGCCCTTAAATAATACAAATTAAAATTGTAAATTAAGAATAATTAGGCTACTGAATTGATAAATATTTCAACATTACTAAAATTATTTTAAGGTGTGCACTGTGCACAGTACTATAGGTATACACCATACACATTTTTAAGAAAACTGAAAAATCACGATTCAAAGAGATTTGTATAAAATTATTTTTGAATTTTTTCAAACCTAAATTGATTATTTGTAGTTAGGTACCTAGGTATCGCATATTTTCAATATWTATATATATATATATAATATTACCTATTTATAATATATTTGAATCTTAAGTTAGGTGGTTAGCGAATGTTTACTTAAATTTATAATAATATTATTTATAAATATAAAAACATTTGTTGCGCAACCTATACTTCATTGATGGGCAGATGGTAGCAYATATCTTATAAATGAGTTATTTCGCGGAAATTCAAAATAAAAAACCACAAAAAATAAACTATGTGGAATAGGAGGATAGTCAGGGAGAGCTCTGAGCTTATAATGTTACCTATTATATTATATATAGATACGGATGTTAATTTGTTAAATGTTAAAAATAATTGGACAAATAAAAGTAGTACAGATACAGATGTTTAAAATCCGTTGAATATATTGTCCGTTACTTACTACATAAAATCATAACTATTAATATTATAAATATATTAATAATTATTAGACATAAGACATAAATAATTTTTAAACATCTACCTARTACCTATTTAATTAAAATTGAAATAACATTTTTTACAAATTGATAATAGGTAATGTTCTTTTTTTTATCCTCTGGAATGGGCTTTCATGTTAGAGATCCGCTGATAAAGATTATAATATTTTTATATGTATTATGTAACAACAACAGAATCGGTGGCGCAGAAGTCTTAAATAAATGGTGTAGCAAAAGGATTTTTTTTTTTTTGGACCCACCCATCCATATCTAGCTGTTATCTCTTCAACTATTGTAGTCAACGGTCTACATTTTTTTTCGAATATATATACATGTATAATAGGGATATGATATACTTAATACCTTTTCAAAGGTGCAGTATNAGATCCGCTGATAAAGATTATAATATTTTTATATGTATTATGTAGCAACAATAGAATCGGTGGCGCAGAAGTCTTAAATAAATGGTGTAGCAAAAGGATTTTTTTTTGGACCCACCCATCCATATCTAGCTGTTATCTCTTCAACTATTGTAGTCAACGGTCTACATTTTTTTCGAATATATATACATGTATAATATGGATATGATATACTTAATACCTTTTCAAAGGTGCAGTATTAATTTTTCATGTTGGATGGTGCTGGTGAGACATCTCTTAAGCACCGTTCATTATTTTTTGTGATGCGGGTGTAAATTTTGTCATGKAAATTTTGGCAATAGTCGTGCAAATTAATGTTAATCACATGCTAATTTTCTGTAAAAGAAAAATGTAAAATTTTTAAATGGTTGRCGTTGACGAGGCGGTCTTTATGATAAGCATCATACACGGCCTATCCATTCTTTAATATCTATGGTAGCCGGTAGGTACCTACTAATTTTATCGTTATATTGTTATATAATATATAAAGTATACTGAATTGAGTTACCATTACCTATAAAAGTATATTATTTGAAATGAACTGCTGAATTAACACAGTTGAACAGTTCGTAATTTCGTATATTTCAATACAGCGAGTATCTTTAGAATATGCAGTGCAGAAGACTGCACAAGATGTCAACCCTATTCCCCTGTGACATAGGTTACCTACAGCGAAAGTTTACACTGCACGTGTCRCGATCTCACGCAATAATGTATTGCAGCAATGCACCATATGTATTTGTAGGTATATATGTGTGTATATTATAGTKCATATATGTTTATTATTATACATAATAATAGCCAATCGTGTAACTACGCGTGGATCATATATGAGTCTCCTTGGGTGTAGTTAACCATCATTTAAGCATTAAATCATTTACAAATATATACAGCGCCAAAAGAATAAAAGACATTATAGTTACTTTTTTGTTCCATTTTATTAGCAAGTRTATGACTGCTGATGTTCCTACCGCGAATGTATATTATTAATCTTGTCGAATCCCCGTATACCGAAACATATGGTGCGTGACAGGTGATCTATTATAAATCTTTGATATTTTTTGGATAAAAACACAGGCTTGAAATATTATGAACATTGTAATTTGTAATAACGGTGTTCGAATGAAATTAAAAAATAAACAGGAGTACTAATATTATCATTACAGTAACTATACGTACACCTATGTATATAATATAATAATAAAATTTCGATTATTTATATTATACAAAGAATAACGGACATAAACTAGAGGCGTGTCGGCAGTAAAAAATAATGACGAACGATGAGCGGCATATTATAGTGTGTTGCTACGCGTGTCTAATATAGGTAGTCGCAGTGACGATATAATAGTTTTTGCGAAATTGTATAGTACCTAATTAATAGAGGAGTTTAATGATAGCCACGGGTTCATGGAGAACTGAATGACTGTGACTACTGACTAATAATATAGACTTAGCAATAGAGTAGAAGTAGTAATTATTACGTATTGAAGAGACATTCGTGAGAATTAGTGCAGTTGGTTGAGGACTAAAAGGCAGTTAGGGAATAGAAGGAAGAGTCAATTCAGTTAAGACAGTATTCTAATTAGTATTAAATTAAGGACAAATATAAATGATAAATATAGTATATATGGTTGAATCATTATTAAGTATATTATTATATAATATATCAACAATAAAAATAATAATTAAATAAGTTGAAACGTCGTTAAAATTTAACTGATCATAGAATTATTACTCATAAATCATAAGTCATAATTGATCTTATTGCACCAATGCAATAAAAATACTTCAATGAATAACTATTTAGTTTTACGTATCTAGAAGTGTTTATTTATTCGTATTATATATTGCTTTATTTTTTACAATATATTTTTTTTTTGTTTCATATATTTGTACAAAACCAAATATATAACATTAATAAGGACATTTTTGTTTTTGTAAATAAGCCGCGAGTCATATGACGAGACTATATATATACATATATGTATATGGCAATATAGCGAACCGCTAAATGGCCATATCTGTTATATAAAATAAAATATTTACCCGTGTATTATTGCAGTCTAGTGGTTATAAGCAAATTCAGAACCATG